TGTCAAAATCTAAAATGCAAAATTGGTTGCTATTTCTATTATTTTGAGAATAAAATGTTTACTCTAAAAGGAAAGATAACCAAAATTTATACTTTTGTATTAATAAAATTGTAATTTTATATGGAGTTGAAAATAGTTCATAGATTAATATAATTACAGTAATAGAGTTATACTTTTAAAAACAGATTGATGTGAGGACTCCTTTAAATAACATTATCAAGTTCATTATTTATGAGTGAAATTTTTTTCCAAATTTTGGTTATAAAAGGTTTGATATCTATCTAATTATTATAATTTATTCAATAACAATCAAGGGTGACATTCAAATGGAGGCACATTAGGGTGCGCAGGCTTCTAAGATTTACTAGGTTTAGGGTGCTACAATGTGAGATTAAAGTTGTTACCTTATCATTATGAATGAGTAAGACAGACAAGGTTTTCAATCAAAAGGAAGCTACAAAAATAAGACTCTAGACATCTAAAGTCATATTGAGGACAACTTAATCTCTGTCTATATTATTAGATTATCCAAAATTGCATGGTCACTTTTCAATCTTAGATGCTACTTTTTTCTAGGCATATGTAGAGCATATGTGACTTCTTTTTCTTATTATCATTAGACCAGTCCTTTCGCTAATTCAAGCATCGGTCTGATCCTGATAACACTGGTTATTAGGTCATGATGACCATGTGGGCCATGCAAATGGCACACATGAACTGTGTGGTGCTGAATTTCTTGGGAGAGAGAATAAAAAGATGGAAACTAATGCTATATGCACGCGAGTAATATCGCCACCAATGTTAGATCAAGATTGTAGATGGTGAAATGTTAAATGTGTCATGTGATCATAGTCATGAGTCATAACCATGACCGTATAGTTTCATCATGTGAATTCAAGGGTTCAGTAGTGATGAAGTGGACTGGGTTCCACTTTCTATGCAACTAATTGAATTTTGATTGTGGATAACTTATCTGTTGTAATGGGTTAAGATGACCATATGGATCATAAATTATTTATTTTTTGAACATAAACGACCATATGGATCATATTACACAAGGTATAGCTTATAGAAACTGCTAAATATTGATAAATATTTGTGTGTGAGAGAGAGAAAGAAAAGAGAGAGAGAGATGTACAGTAGAACAATTACCTGAACAATTAACTAACTCCAAAAAGAGAGAAAACACAAGGACACAGTTTCTATGAGTCCACAGACTCACATGTAGAAATACGGCCCCAAAAATAATTAGTTTTTAAAATAGAATTTAATTCTAATTTTTAGGGAATATATAATCTTTAACATGTAGACTATGAATCTGTAAACTTATAATCTTTAACATGTAGACTACTATTCACGGTGTAGATCTACACTTTTTTTGATGGATGGTGTAGATCTCCAAACCGCATAATAACGAATGCAGGCTTGGACGCACCAAACAATTCTCCAAAACATAGAGACAATTGCATTAACATCAAGAAGTCCGTTCAAGATAGAAAATAGTCTTTGAGGTTATAAAGTTATGCTAAAAAATTCTCAAAAAACTTATGAGTTTCAAGCTTAGATACAGACAAATTTGCTCAATTACAAATATTTTAATAAATTCAAATGTTGCATGCTAAAATTAACTATAACCATCTTTTTCATCCTTTAAGTCTAACACTAAATATTTTAATGTCTCAAAATTCCATTGTTTTCATCGTAATTATTTTTACTTTCCATACAAATAACGTCATTAAACCGAAGTCCCATTTCTTTAAAAAAACATTATATATTTGTACACACCCATTTCTAGGGTAGTCCATAAACCATAGACCACTTCAACATATATGGCATGATAATATTTGTTTTAAGAAATTTAAAATTATTAACGTTAGAAATTGTATACATTCTATTATAATAAATATAATAATTACAATTTACAAGATAATACTTGTTTTAAGAAATTTCTTATATTCTATTATAATAAATATAACACCTACAATTTACAAGTTCATACTCTTTAAAAAAAATTCTACACTATTGCTATACTACACAACACTCATAATTTTCAAACTATAGGTTTTTTTAAAGGTGGTTGCATACAATGAGACCATATATCTTTGGTTCAAGGAGGTCGCAGCTACTTATAACCATCTGCTGTAAAATCTGATAGATTGGATGTGTTGCAAAGTTCGAGAAAATTTCTTTTGGACTTGATAAATTCCCATCATTTTCCTAAAACCATAAAAAACCTTTTAAGACCATACTTCTGAACCATAGAACACCATAGTCCATAGTCATTATCTTATGATCCATTATTTTACAGGCTCACTCATTTTAGAGATAATAAAAAAAGAAGAGTTAAAAATCACATTTTATCCAAAAAATTAAACGGTGATCATTCAAAAATACGTACTTGATCACGAGGATTGAAATCACATGATTTTGGTGAGATTTGAGCAGTGCGATAAGATGTGTGTCGCTCAACCCTGTTGATCATAATCGACACACTTTGTGTCGCCAACATAATTTGGGGCAAATATACTAAATCTTGTCCAATTTGGGCTTTACGACACACCTTGTGTTGCACAACCCTGTTCTGATCTAAGTGGCACAGTTGTCGCATAACCTTCTGACCACCAAATTGCGGATTCGAGCTGATAGATCAATCAACTATCCAAAAATATGCATGTCAATCAATTTAGGCCTATAAAAAGACCTGTGCACGACCTTTTAATGGTTGGTGAGAAAAATCGCTAGGGATTATATGAAACCCTAAACCTAGAACCCTAGGATGATCAACCCATATCTTATGAGACTCATCTTCAACCTTCAAACATTAGGTCAAGAAACTACAACCGTAATCCAACCATAGTATGACTTGGTCAATTCTGAAGAGGAAATGAGGACACAGTGTAAACAACCTGCAGTCCTAATACGTGCGAGGCTCTAAAGCCTCAGGTGTCCCTGGCTATCTAGTATGGTCAGGTAAGTCTCATTCTTTATATTTTCAGTTACTTTAGTTATTTCGTTGGATGTAGAATAGTTTCATAGCATTTCTTTTAGTACTGCACAAGGATTGATGCCGGCTTTGCCGATGATCTAGAGGAGGGTCTATTCACGTTTGAATAGATTGACCCCTAGATCAGGATTCGATTGATCTCACTTCTTTACCCTTTTTTAGAGCGAGTTTGTAGTATCGAATTCAAGGGATCTTCATTTGAGGATCACTCCGATTTGCGCTGTAAACAAACGGTGAAGATTAATTGTGACCACCTTGTACCAAAGGTAAATAATGGTCTCATTGTATACTTTTCCCTTTTGAAAAAATCTTACATTCTATTATAATAAATGTTACAATGAGAAACTTTTTTTAAAGTTTACATTTTCTAGTAAAATAAAGTAAAAACTTATCAAAATGAGGAAAATGAAGAAAAATTCACCAGAAATAGTAGAAGATCCCCTAAATCAAAATCCCCAAGACAAATTTCAAATTATAACATAATTTTTTAAAAAAGGAGAGCCTTTTTTTTTAGAAAAAATGGAAACCAGGTATTGGAAAATCAAGATTTTAACAAAGCAAATGAAAAATATTAAATTTTTAGCATTTATTTTTTCCAATAAGAGATCAAACAGAACCGCTAAGACATTTTTGCAATTTGTTAACATTTTCTTCTAAAAAATAGGTTTTTAGTAAACAAAAGCTTTTTTTTGGGCTAGATCAATAAAACATTATGTTTAAATACATCAAATTCGATCAATAATATTATAGAGTGATGAATGAAGTCTCATTTGTACAAATTTGGTTCGAAATGGAAGAGAAAATCAATGATCTGGCAGATTTTGCCAAGAACCCTATATTTAATAAAACCTTAAATTCAAGAAAAGAACAACTTGAAATAAAAAAATTAATTGAAAAATATAGATCACTGATGTTGATGAAATTAGTCTCCTTAGGTCCTAATCCCTAACGCAATTTTTTGATAACCAGCATAAATATGTAGATTGTGAAATCAAGAAATTCGGATGCCACAGTGGATCTGCAGTCCCTCCTGATAAAAACCGATGATCATGGAAGACTCGGAATCGTTCCGGACACCAATCAGGGAACCGGTTCTTTCGGTCCAGATTCACAATCCAGATTGACCATCCCCCATTCAGGATTGGTGAGCTTCTCAAACACCGCTTGATGACAACTTTCCTTCTAGTTTTTTTTACCTCTGAGAAAGAAGAAAGATCTCATATGATTTTGGAGGCTCAACAATTTGGAAATTCATGAAGCGCACTGCCCAGACGACTCCACATGCATCATGAAGGATGGAAAGTTACTTTTTTCAGAAGAATTTGAATCTCTTTAATGTCATGCGGTCCAAATGGTCCTGTTGTATCACATGAAATTTTAATGGTGGTGTCGATATATTGCAAGAAATCTACTTAAGCGAAGGAGGCACTTCTCCCTTTTCATCTAAAATGAATAGAAAATTCCTATGCGTAATATGGGTGTGGTTTGTATAAGGCCGAGACCCTAAACCATCAAAGTAAGGTGCTCCTTTAAATAATCTCGAAAGATGTTTCAAAACCAGCCATCTTTGTGATGATCTGAAAATTTATTTTTATTTTTAATTATACAATTTAAAACTTCAAAAATAGATCAATCAAGAACACTTAAAAATTTTAAAAATTGATGATCTAAATATACGATGCATCATTTCCAAACCTCGAAATCCATTTTTTTCATTTTCATACATATATGTGTTGAGATGTTCAATGTAAGGATTTTTGAGCATTGAAACGTCCGCTAGTGAATTTTTTAGAATTTTTGAGGTGCGCTTTAGAGCCTGCGCCCTGAACGTTTTCCATGTACTATTATTAAACCTTTTTTAGGCTCTCTGTTCATTCCATATTAATTTTGAACTTTTGATAACCCCGAGCATTAGTATCAAAACTTCTTAAAACATTGCAGGGGCAAAATTTAACAAATCACCTGAGCCCCACAAACAGCAACCCATGCTCCCAACTTTACAAATTATTTTCCTTATTCCTTCAAAACTAACATATACAAAATGTGGCTCTATCTTTTGGCCCTTCAATCTAACCATGAAAAGAGCTCACCATTAATTATCCTACGAAATCATGCAATATGTGGCCAGGAATTTGCTTCCTGAGCTGTTGCTGTAAATTCTCAACTACAAAACCACTACTGCTACTATTTTCATGGAGCCCAAAGCTCACAGGCTCTTGCACCCCACTATGTTGAAGCCCTAGAGTGAGAGAAACAGCTCCAACCCCAGTTGGGTACACGGGAAAATCCACGTAGCTAGTCGGGATCCGGCAGTGGTCCATTTTTGGCCGCTTTGACGGTTGCTCGAGATCTCCAACCCTTGAAGAAACCGAAAAACTTCGATCCTCACTTGATTGGGCTTCTATGCTTTGCTTGCCTTGTTTCTTAGATGCCTGTTCAGGGTTGGCTGGACTGTGGTCATTCTTGCTGGAATTCTGGTCGAATTCGGCTGACTCTTTGGACTCGAGCATGTGGATCTCTTCCACCATGGGTTTCCATAGCCTTACCCTAGCATTGATGAACCAGTTGGAGACCTGCTTAATCAATCCAGCGAAAATGGCTTTCACCATGAGAAATTTTGGAATATGGGGAAAAACAAAACCAGAAAAGGGAGGACATATATATTGGAAGAAAGAGGGGCTATAAATACGTATGGTTCCAATTCACCAAAAAAAACAATGAATTATATTTCTTGCATTGGCCTATGTTTTTTTATTTTATTTTTTATTTTTTGATAATGTAAGAGAACCTCTTAACGTTACTTGGAAAAAAAAAAAGATTTAGGTACAGACCTTAAGGTTTTTATTTATAGGTGGAAATTACAAAGAAGTTCGGATACCCTTTAATTTTTATTTTTTTCAAAATTACCCCTCAATCCAGTCCAAGGACATCCTTTGACCAAATTTTAACTTTTTTTTAACACTGCCTTAAACCTTGGGGCACTTCCCTACTAATAAATAAACTAAAAAAAAGATTTAAAATTTGGACTGATGATTTCATCCTTTGATCAAGAGGTAATTCTGAACAAAAATAAAAAAAATAACTTAACCGAATTTTTGTCTATAAACCAAGCATTCCTTATTACAGAAATTTTTTTAGAGTCAATACGTAAATCACTCAAAAAAATATAAATAAATAAATAAAAAGAGAGAAACTCTTGCATATACCTGATTCCTAGAGAGACCAGTTTGGGACGCCAGCACATGCTTGTCGTTATCAGTAGGATATCTGAAAATAACATGAAATTCTTATAAATGCTATATTTTATAAATATAACGGTTGTTTTTTAACGTAACATTCATTTTGTTAACATGCAGAAGAGCTCACAATCCGGGTTAGCAGGGGCAAAATAGCAGTGAAAAAGACCTTGCAGTCATGTATTCAACCATTGGATGTTGCAGTCAATGTCAGAAAGTGTCAGGGTAACTTGGGAACACAGTATCTCTAGAAAAGAACTATTACGTACAACAAATACATGCAGAACTGGTATAAGTAACCAGAGTGATATCTGTAATGACCTCAATTATTTCTAAAAGACAAAATGTTTTATTTATAAGTCGAAATTATAAAGAAAATCGGTCAACCCTTTTTTTTTTTCAAAATTACCTATTTTTTTCTCAAAATTACCTCTTGGTTTGAGGACACTGTCCTACTAGTAAACAAAAAAAATAAAAAATTGGACAAGGATTCTAGCCTTAGACTGAGGGATAATTTTGGGAAAAAAAAAAACACTGATTGAACAATCTTTGTAATTTTTTGCTATAAATGGATTATTTAGTATTTTAGAAAATTTTTAGGATCCATTCGTAAATCACTTTAGCTACAATGGAGAACATGTCACAGAGGGGGCAAATTTCCAATCCAAATGAGGGAGAGATCAAAATGAAAAGTCCCTCTAGTAAAACCGGTTATAGAATATTTGGTTCCTATAATTGTCAACAGAGAGAGGGAGAGAGAGAGGTCGATTTGTCGAACTCACGGGTGCAGGAAGTGCTCGAACAGCCATGCTCGCAAAACCGCCACCGACCTCTCCGGCAGGCCCCTCTGTGGCCTCCACACATGTTGATGGCGCGCATGCTCAAGCCCCATTAGCCGTTGTTGCTGTTGATGCCTAATCCTTTGATCCAAAAACCTAAGCCTTGGAATGGTATCTCCCTTACCAAAATTAGGACCACCAGCCGGAATCATGCTCTCTTCCTCACCCAAGAGACTGCTCATTTGCTTTAACTGATCGGATATCACGTTTTTCAGGCACCGGAAGTGCTTAGACATTGCCTTTAGGGCAAGAGAAGTGTAAGGAGTGGCGGCACTGAGACCGGCAATGGATTCAAATGAAGAGATGACAGATTGCATTTGGTGCTGGTATATCCGGTATCGTCTATAAACCTGAAAATCAGAGGAACTGAAAATTACCGGCAGAGCTTGTAGAAGAAAGAAATACAAGCCCTTTTGATTTCAACTCATGGCAATGAGGCCTTGAATTTCTACCCTTTGAAAACCGATAACTGTTTTAGAGGGGATTGTATACAATGAGATCATTTACCTTAAGAGAAATTTAAATTCGAAACACAAATAGAGATATTTTTTATAGGATCATATATGATGAGATCATTTTACTTTTGATATAAGGAGATCACAAGTACTTATAACCGTCTATAACCATCTGATGTGAAATATGATAAGATGTGAAATCTAATAGCTTGGTGTATAACAAAGTTTGAAAAAAAAAACATTTGAACTTTGAGCTTTGTCAATACAATAAATGCAACTACCAAATTTCAATGATTAAGATTAATTGTGACCACCTTGTAGCAAAGATAAATGGTCTCTTTATATATTTTTCTATTTTTTATTATTTAAATATCCTTTTTTTCGTAGTCCATTTCAAAATTCCTAAAAATTTTATGAAAAAAGAAACAATCAAACATCACTTCAACATTTTAGCTGAAAAAAAGGAGAAAGATTAAGGAATGGATCAAGGTTAGGTGACTAGGTCAATGCGATGCTCCACTGAACTACCCAAGAATAAAAAAGTAATGAGAAATATTGGGAGGGGTCTTGAACCCCGGGTCACCTACTACTTCAAAGCTGGTTAGGGCATTCTCAGTTCGAATCATCTAAGACACTGGTTTTAAGTTTCAACGATGGAAAGTACAATATGATCCTTATGGTCCCATCAAATATATGCTGCTCCTAAGGACTCAACAGTGTAATAAATGGAATAATAGGCTGCCACAAGGATACACTCGGAAGGTGATGAAGAGAGAAGGCAAATCATACTCGTACTTTAGGCATGTTTGGGGGATGAACACTCTCTCCATCAACGTCATTTAATGGATTGGAGCGTGATCAATCTTATTGACCAGATTTCATGTGGTCATGTGGATTTTAAGAATTGGTGATCTAGATTGGAACCAACTGATCTGGATCAGGAGTCTGTCTGGTTGCCGGTTCTATGACAAAACCAAAGGTTGTATACCACTTTATCTTTTCAATATTTTCAACCGTAATTTTTTAAAATTTCTTTCTCTAGTTCACTAAGACGGAATGCTGATCCACCAATCCGCATTGGTTTTCTATAGAGCCGATCCAGTTTGAACCTCAAATTTCAAATGAAACTTTTTATTGGGTGAATAATTTCAACAAATACTTCAAATTTCTGTGGATGTTAGATATTGCTGTTGAAAATTTATCATTTTCCTCAGACAACTCAATAGAGGATCTCCGGGAAAATTCATTAACTCAGAGGATTTTCAAAAAATACAGGAAGACAGTACCATGTTTTCCTATAATTTCTTTAAAAGAATTTCAACAAACTCAAACTCAAACTTCGTTCCTATACGTTGTTGGGAAATTGGTATGATACCCATGCACCACATTCGTATCTTCATTTTTAGGTAATTCAGACACGCCCCTACCTGTTTTTTTCAAAATAATTTAGGAGTTCGCTTTTTTGAAAGCATTAGTGGGTGGTGTTAGGGTTGGGAATGAAAACCACAAAGTTGTAAGGTGTTGGGGTGCTGTCACCACTACCCTGGCGACTAAGGTGTCCGGGGTGCTACCACCATGAGCCCAGTGCCCTTTCCCGCACCAGTCATATTCCTTGCAAATGTGACAACAAACCCAAGCAAGACAAGATCACCGTCAACTCTTCAAACGGTTGGTGGAGATCGAAATGAGTTCCAGTACGATGTACATGGTCCCCATAGATAGAGAGACATAGAGGGGCATTTCTGAGAGAGAGAGGACGAAAGAAAGGATGAGAGAGGAGGTGAAAGAAGAGAGGAGGAGGAGGGGAGGAGGAGGAGGAGGAGGAGGAGGTCTAGAGAGAGAGTTACCTCATCAAACAAAGCCATGAGCCGAGTCTTCTTCTTATGAAACTCAATCCCATCACCTGCACAAACTGCGCCACCACTCTTATCTCCGCCCCCATTACCACCTTCAATGGAGGTGGGATAATCCGAAGAGGAAGAAACACATGAATTTCCATTCCTTCCAATGCCACCACTGTCTACATTAACGCCATCCCTCAAAACCATGGAACCCCTTTCGATCGAATCACTGTTAATACCTGGCTTCTTCATTCCACATTCTATAGCCCCTTTTGTCACACTACAAAACTCACTTAAGATAAGCTGAGCTGGTCTCAAGAACTTTGAGCTCTTAAGAATTGTGGCATAACCAGTAAAAGGGCCAAGAGGACCTGCACTCCTTTGAGCATCCATGGAGCTGCCGCCTATATAACCTTGCGATAAGGGTGAGAAGTTTCTCTCTCTAGAAGTACTGCCATAGAAAGGGTTGGGAAATGAACCCTCTGACCTGTTTTCTCTCACTACCAATTCCTGCGAATTGTTGAATCCGTCTTCAAATTGGGGCAGTTGAGTATCAGTCGATCGATGCGAGGCTAGAGAGAGAGCTAAGCTCTGACTTCTTGCATCATGCCCATCTTGCTTTCGAACTATTTGGGCTTCACCTTCGCCGTTGCACCATTGATGAGTTTGAGGCCTCTCTGAAAGCCCTGATAAAGAGCTCTGATTTCCATAGCTGGGAAGGACTAGCCCGCTCGCACTCTCTTGCCATAAACCAGAGGCCACAGACTCCTTAATATCTCTTCGGGGCGAACCCAAATCAAGACCTTGGCTACTCTGCTCAAATCCACGAAAATTCCGTGAAAATTCAGTATATGGCTTCTGGTTTTCTCCATCATACACATCCTTGGAACTCCAAATAGGGTTAGGGTTAGGGTTTTGGGAAGCCATTGAAACCTGTAAATCTTGTGGGTACCCAATATTGTTGTACTCATTGTTCATAAGTAAAAGCTGATAAGCTGAGGAGTTACCATCTTTGAGGTTTTTAGAGAGAATACCAAACATGGGTGTTAGAAACGAGTCATGGTTGTTCAAGGAAGAAGGACTTGCACCATTTCCTTGAGAATGGTTCAAAAACCAGTCACAATTTTGAGGTGCGATTAAGCCTTTCCAGAGAGTTGGATTTTGCACCAGGCCCCCATCCGAAGGCACAACTTCACTGTTAACCTCAGAAGAAACTCTCTGAGCTCTAAAATTCAGCATTTCAGAAGACACCATTGATGAATCGCATAGAGGGTTTATCAAATGGCTCGGAAGCCCCACTGTTTCTCTCTCTAGATTTGAAGTGTTTTGGACCCTCAGTTTTTCACGCCGGCTTTGTTGAGCAACGTGGTTTTGAGCCCCAAACCTATGGATTCTAGAGAGAGAATCATCGAGCTCCTCCGCCATGGTTTCAAGGCCTCAACCACTCAATTCTAGAGAGAGAAAGCTCCGGGGTTTGCGATTTTTATGTCCAGTAGCGAATCTAGAGAGAGAAAGTGGGACTGCATCTTACTAAAATATGTCGTGACCAGATGAGCTCATCACTTTCAGTGATTCGGGCGAGTTCATGTCAAAGTTTGCAGGCCCTGACACGGCACACAACCTGCGTCCATGCTCCTGCAATCAAAGAGCGAGCTAAAACTTTTTAGAGAGAGAAACTCTACTTCCATCTAAATTCCTTGTCTCAAAAGAGAGAGTTTAGACGAACAAGAAATATATTGACAGAGATAATGGGTAGAGAGAGAAAGAGGAGAGAGATGAAAGCGTGAAAAATAGGCAAGGGGTTCAAATAGTTTTAGAGAGAGAAGAGAAAGGATCACGTGCACCCCAAAAATGAGGAGGAAAGAGCGAATATAAGACGCACAGTTGCCTTATTATCAAACAAAAGCGTGAAAGAAATACATCCCCTTACAAACAAAGAAAAAGGTACAGGAAACGCAGGCCAATAATTATTATTCAACATCTACCCAAGTTCACATTTAAATAAAAGAACATATTTCTCCAATTATTTTACAGTTCAAAATACACAAGCATATCTCTGAATTCTTTGTCATCAAAGTTTCTAAATTTTAAATCTCTCAAAAAAAAAATCTAGTAAAAAACAAAAAAACAGACTTCTCTCTCTTTCTGCAGATAAAACGGAAAACTTTTACGGCAATAATGAATGGAGCCACAAAGAATCACTGTATAAACGCGGCGAGTTTCCGCGTAAAACTTCTGCCTTTGCTTGATGAGAAGAAAACTTAAGAATTATATTCACCTGTTCTTGTAAGGGCAGAGATTGATCCCAAAAATCACTTCTTTATCGACTGGAGTCGGCGATGGAAACCCTAAAAGTAATCAGATTCAGTAAATGGTCACAGTATAGCTCATGTGAAGTTTTTGCAGGAAAAGAGCGAAAACTCTGAAGCGAGTGCTCGCCGTCCTTCTGATTATCCTATATTCATGAAAAGCTAGAAATTAAAGAAGAAAAAGAGTGAAAATCGAATGGTAATAATCGAATGAAAACCTAGTATGAAGAGGCGATCTCACTCGCTGCATCACCTACCTGAAACGATCGATTCAGTAAACCCTAAAAACACCATAAATCGAGATTCCGGCCAAAATTGCGGCAAAGTATTGTCGGAATCTGCAGACGTACTGCGAATTGACTACTGTAAGAGATGGAGATAGAGAGAGAGAGCACTTTGCTTTTTCTTTCACTTTATTTCTCTCTCTTTTTTTTTGTTTTTTTTTTTTCGACATTTTCCGTCTAAATACATGCAATGGACAAGCAACGGTCCAGATTCGACAAGAATTTCCTAAAACCAATTCTCCACCGTCGATCACCCTGAAGAGATCCATACCGTCCAAACAATTCATCTCATGCATCGCAAGGTCCCCGCACAGAGTCCTAGGAACCACCCAGGTGGCTAAGTAATAATAATCAACGGTTTGTATCCTCACACGTGGCATATTCTACAATGTTGGAATCTCCTCCGGTGCCAACCGTACGGACGGACTGGAACAAGTGACGTCATCGATCGAGCCGTACGGTCACTGTCAGGGTGAACTCCAATCGGTCGTGACCGCCGGATCTTTTGCTTGGATGGGTTCGGGTCACGGATCGTACGTCCCTGATGCTCCCCTGAATCGAGGTCAGAGACCCTTGAAACATGACACCGTAATAATAATAATAATAATTAAAAAAATCTTATAATTTCTTAGAGAAAGAGATGAGCGAATTTTACTTGAGCATGTACACCATGCTCCCTCGGGAGCATAGCCTATTTTTACTCTTGTGTTGAAGACGAGAATGAGCAGATAATTATTCTTAAAAATATTTTCGAACTTTGGATTTTTTTAATACCTAGATCTTACTAATCTAAAAATTAAATCAATCTCTATTTAATCTTTGGACATTACATTATTTTTTAAAGCGCATTGAGGATGCAATTATTATTTTTTTTGTTGTTAATCCGTGGGTTTGATATGTTATAATTCCAGAATTTGAGGTTTTAAAATTAATCAAGTGGGATTTTATTCTGTTCAAAGGTGGTCTTTGCCCTCGGTACAAATGATACTTCATTGGAAAGGTCTTTACCTTCGACTTGAAGGTTTTTTTGCACCATCTTTGGACTTCTTGCTAACAAAGTGATTAGTAGTTACCTTGCTCTAGGCCTTGGCGATCTCTTTAGCGTTCCGACTGAACTTGGAGGGAGTAAATAAACATTCTACTTAAGTAGGAGTAGAATATCTTTTTGGCATTTGACTTATTAAAAAACATGTGTGGTTTTTAAGATGTTGCAACCTTAAACAATCCAATTATAAAGGTACCACAAAAAATTTTCATGATTTTGTAAAGAATTGTTAGGATTATCTCAAAATCTATTCTCATATCTAATTATATAATTTTAAATTCAAAAAATGGTTAAGGTCAACTAGATTTATAAAGATATGAAAATATTAAAAACAATTTATATAAATAATATGTTCCAAGATGTACTATTTTTAAAGCCAAAATTTTTGTTTTTGTTCATATTTATATATCTGGATGTCAAGAGAATTTATTAAATAATTTTTCAGCATTAAAAAAATATGTTACGGATTTTTTAGGTGCATATCTAGTTTTATATTTTAAATTTGTAACTTTATATAATTTTTTTCTTAAAAAATATTAAAAAATTGATAAAAGAAATGGTGAAAGAAATCTTCTTCGAAAAGACAGTCCCACTGTCTCTGTATAGGTCATTAAGTAATCAGAGCCGCCACTAATCAAAACCCTAATTTTTGACCACTGACATACTTCATGCTCTGCTTATTGTGAAGTAATAATTCCACGTAAAAGATACCACTATTATAAATCTTTATTTTTTATTGTATTTTAGTTTACTGTTTTGCATTTTTATATTTTTTGGACATTCCTGTATTAATTATTAATGTTATGGAATATCAATCACCATAGAAAAATTTGTCTTTTAATTAAGTGTTTTCGAGAGTTTTTTAGGTATTTATAAATTTATTTAAAAAATTAGAAGATTTTCAAGAAAGGTGAATTGGTTGCACGTGGATCTAGGGAAACTTTTTTCTTTTACTTTTCATTTTTTGGGGATGGAAGTTGCTTGGGATTGGAATTGACTCCTTTGTTTTTTTCTTGAAAGATTGCTTTGGTGAATTGTTACGAGCTTGTGATTATTGGTGAATCCTTTTCACCCTGAAGAAGCCAGATAAGCATGCTCTAATCAGCTCATAAAGGCACTAATCCCATATGACATACAATAATGTTTAAACCCCGTATCGGCAGCGTTAATCAGGGTCGGTGAATCACCGATTTGGATCGATTATCTTGTCGAGATAATTGGTTAATTAAAAATTAAAAACGATAATTGTTTGGAGCTAAATCAAGTGGTTCTTGATAATTTTAAAGAATTGAGATAGTCTCATTGATTTTCGAGTTGGACCAAGTTTTTTTTATCTTATTAGAGTTTTGAAAATATCAATAAAATAATGCAAGTCATAGATTTTGAGAAATCGAGAATTGGGTTCCAATTCAGTCTCAAAAAATCGAGTTGGATAGCTGATTCTCATATGGAACATCCAATTTTGGCTCCAATTTTGTGAATCATATTTCATTTGCTCGAAAATATGCTTTTTTAGGAAAAACGAAAAACTTTTATTTTGAGTTCATGAAATCAATTTTCTCTTTTTTTAGGTTGATAATAGAGACGACTAAAGATGGTTTAAAAGTAAAAAAAAATTTAATGAGTTGTAACTTTAATAATAATGTTACAGTAATTTTAATTTGTCATTTTAATTGAATGAGATAGATGTGACCCACTATCTTAACAGTTATATTAATTTTTTATGTTGCATTTACACCACCTAATTAAAATAAATTATTAAAATAGTACAACTTTATTTATCTAAATAAAGTATCACTTTATGCAAACTGTACCCGAAAAAGTTTTGAGGGCGGGAATAGATGCGGTGGACCTGGACGTGGTGTTTTAGTCTAGGAGCAAATTGTCGAATTTGCTTATGCAATGGCATGAAATGTATTCCTTGAAGGGACCGTTTATGTGCCCCCTTGGCAGGTACCATGTAGGGTCACTCTTCTTAATGAAGGGTTAAAAAGGTCATTAATCAGGGCATCTTTGAAAAGGTCCCACTACAATAATTTGCTTTTGCCTAATATCAGAGAGGCAAAATCAAGTTATTAGATCAATAATTAATTATACTTACTTTGGAGATCTCCTTGCCTCACATGAGAACAAACCTCGTGAGATAAAGTCCGACGTAGACAGCAGCATTATCAAAATTACAATTGAAAATTATATTTTTTAGGTTTTTGTTTCCTTCTTTTATTCAAGAAGAATCTTATGATGGTTAGATAACAATTCCTCTTTGTTTCTTTTACTTGCTTGATTGTGGATAGGCCTGGCAATGGGCCCAAACAAAGTAGGGCTTGGGCCACAAATTGTGGCCCAAGGGCTGGGCTAGGGCCAGTGCCCACCCGGTTCAGACCGGCTAGGTCCTCTATGTTTTTGTGTTTTTTTCTTTCATTTTTCTATTTCTATTTGGCGTGGCCCTAACAAGGCCAGGGCAAGGCTTGAGCCAACCCTATCGGGACAAGGGCTGAGCCAGGGCTAAGGTTGGTTGGCCCAAGCCCGGCCACCCTTAATTGTGTATGTGTAATATTTTGCAAGAAATTAATTTCACTTTCTTTATCTCTCTCTCTCTCTCACGGTTTTGGTGAGTCAGCTGAATCACCTATTACTGTGCGGCCCTTGTCTATCTAACCTCCATGTCTAAGATGGATGTTAAAAAATGTTACATCCACTAAAAATTCAAATGGACAATGAATAAAAGAATTCAAAAAATAGTATTTATATTTTCTCAAAAAGAAAAATTTAACATTTAAATCATTGTCATGGTTGAGATTATCATACCCGAGCATTTTGAATTGAAAAGACATTTTTGAGATATATTTTGTAGGAAGAACACATAATAATAGTGTCAGTGGGCCAACTCATCAAACACTTTTCCCTCTCTCTCTCTTTTTTTTTTTTTGTTTGCAGACATTGCTTCATCAAATATGTCACCCATGTAACCAATTTCTCTTGTTTCTTCTCCGTTGAATCATGCTGCAAATTTCTACCATTTCTTATTTCTTTCTTCAAAGGGGAAAAATAGAATATTAGTACACATATTATGTGCAACAAATGGTCATAACAATGCGACCACATACTTAAAAAGGAAGGGCACCCTTATCTTCTCTTTTGGTTCATTGTTTTGTAGCCCGTGAAGCCTCAAAAATGACTATTGATTGACAAATTGACAACTATCATTCTTCTTGCTTCCTTATAATGGGAGAAGGCTCCCGAATATATGGGATACTGGTAAAGTGAGGTAAGGAAGGAGTAGTTTGGAATATGGAGGACAATTCTCAATAATCCTGCAATTTTTTGCCTTTCCTTTTTACCTTTACCATGGAATGAGCTCACTTTCCAACCTTTTCAATAACCCTTTCAATCAATCATTTAAAAATTGCCGACATGACTTGGAATTGCTTGAGTCAGATTAAGATAAAGAGATGACCACTTCTAATTTTAGAAACCCTGGAATTGCAAAAAATTTAGTTTTTGAAATTTATTATTTTCTTTGTTATTGGTTTGCCGATCTGAGAATTCCACAGTCCATACCACAAAAATTGGAATCGATCCTTTGCCAAGTCATGGCCAATTGCAATATTAAAATCACTGCTAAGCAGTGTTATTTTATGCTTTCTATCATTTTGGTAAAGATTAGAATTGTTTTGACCAGTGATTTTAAAAAAACGATTGATGACCCAAAACGGACATCATAAAAACTGGTCTAGATCTGTAAATCGAAGGTCCGGTTTGTTGTTTTATTGAGCAGAAAAAACAGTGAACCAACAAAAAAACATGTGCAAAAGTTGTGAACGGGTTAAAAACCAGTTTGGATCGATGAATCGATATTATTTATTGTAGCAAAATGACGCTTTTACTGTACTAAAATGGCAGCAAAACATCGGTTCTTTTCTAGACCGGGGCGATTTTCAATATATTAACAGAATTGGTATGGGTGACTGATTTTTGGATCGAACTGTACGATTCCACACTAAGCCGGCATTTTTTAAATCACATATTTTTACTATGAATACTTAAGTTTACATTTTCCCTTCTTTTTTAACA